GTCAAATTCATGTATCCTTGTCCTCACATTCCCCAGTGGCCACTCTTCATGGGTGAGACAAAGTATCAGTAGTGAGATGGTAGTGAAACATGAGTAAGCTCCTTTAGGAAAGGTGGACCGACAACTGGAAGGAACTAAAGGTTTCCTACCGTGATGTTTTTAAAGCCCTTTTGTTTTTCTACTGATTCAAAATGTGGCAAACACAGCCAAAAATGAATATTTTAGTAACTTGTCATGATTCTTACCGTGCTGACCATTTTCAAAATGGACATTTTACTGGATTGAGAATGTTGCTTTATCACCAGCCCTGCTAACAGACACATCACCATGCTTCAGTTCCTTCCTGAACTGCTATTGTTAAAAAGGTTTCTATTGACGGAGCCAATGAGTCACAGATACAGACATTTGCACTGATGGAAAACATGCCTTGGTAGGTCCAGAACTGGAAAGTTGTAATGGCACCTCTGGTACTTCACATGAGTTTGTGGGACACTGCTGTGCACAACTGGTTGCTGCGATTTATGCACAAAATACAGTTGCTCCACTTTACAATATATTCTGTGAAGTGCTTTGAGACATCTCAACGACTTGATAAGGTGCTGTATCAAGTGCGACGATTATTATTATTCTATGAGCCACTACACTGAGTGTCTGCAAGGTATTCCACTGCGGTGAATCAAGATAGGGGGGGATGCAACTGAGCCCAATCCTGCTTTGACCCCACACCTACATTCCTCCTGGGATCTCCAGACTGTACACTGAGGAATCAATAGCGGATTCTGATTATTAGGAAGGGTGGTTATGGCTTTGACAAAGGGATTCATTTAAGAAACTACATGAAAGATACTATACACATCCACTTTGTTGTTGTTGGATGCTGCAATGGGGAATATTGCAGGGTAGCTATTCTGGAAGGAAGAGATGAATGGTCTTCATCTGAACCTTCACAACTACTGCAACAACTACTACAAGAACAAATTGCATTTATATAACGTCCTTCCTGTGGGGTAGCCTTTCAGAGCACAGACAGTGTCTTGCGATTGAGGGGAATCATTAGAACCATCATTCTCCTAACAAGAAGGTTAAATAACAAATAGATGTCCAAAGAAATGAATTCACATTCACAGTCTCCCTGGACTGCAAGGTTAAGAGCTATAAACATGGTTTATCCTAAGCAATCAAAAGCCCAGTCAATCAAGACCTGGTTCCATCAATTAATTTTTGATGCATTTTTAAATTTCAGTCCATAAACTGCCAATGAGTAAAGCTATTCAGTATGGGAGTAAGTGGGTGGGGGAGAAAGAGAAAGAATGGTGGGGGAGAAGCTATTAATGTCAAGAAAGTTTAAAAGGGTGTAGAGAACAGTGAGGAAACTGGTTAATATAAAGGAAGGTTTTGAAGAGGAAAGTAATGAAGCATTCAACGTTGAGATAAACGGAACAACATGCAGTTTTAAAAATAATTATTAGCTGTACACTGAAGAGACCCAGCAGAGAAAATAATTAACGGTTATAAATAATTTGTGTTTCGCTCAATCAAGACTAAGCACTGATCATCCATGACTCAAATCATATAAACAAGAACAAATTGAAAAGGTTATTCCTACCTTCATAGGACAAATCTTTCTATGTATTCTAGTCACATGAATTTTCATACAGGTCAATTATTCCACGTCCCTGAAATAGTAAATATCATAACAAGTGAGTCACTCAGTTTAAAAAATGTTTTTTTTTAGTTTGGTTGATAAAGTCACTGCACCAGCACAGCAATGAGGCTTACCCAGTCAGTTACAGGGGGTGGGCTAATGGTCATTGGATAGTGATTAGAATCTTCAGCTGATTTTTCCCTTCCATAGCCTAAGGGCATTAAAGTCAACTGCAGCTTCAGCTGAGATTAGTTAACTCAGTACTAGTAACTCAGGCTAGAGATTGAAGCTGGTCCATTCTGGTCTGTAGGGCTCTGTCCCACACCAGATTGATCCATTGGGGATATGCAACACAGATTTTGTTTTTTTTTAGATTTTAATCTTCCTTTCACAAGGGATCTATGACATGGTGATTATTGAATCTAGCAATCTTTTCATTACACCAATGGCATTTCTTCATTATCAATAAGAAACTAATAGATCGCTAATTTTAATAGTTGTTGTAGGATTGACCTCATGGGTCAGATATTGTATCAATAGGCATTCCTTCCTTTACCAGAAGAACGCTGCTTTAAAATTACCTAATTTAGCAGCGAGTGAACATAGGTAGTGTTCTAAATATACAAAAGCAGATTAGATTTCCTCTTTTCCATCTCCTCCCCCAACGCACGTTTTACTGCCAAAAATGTCCCCAAGGCACTGACAATAGATCTGAGTTATTGTATCAGGAGAAAGGAGACTGTTACTCAGACGTATTGAACCTGATAGGAATATAGAACAGCTGCCTGCCTCTGGTGTCAGGTCACTGCTGCATTCACCTCAGATGAGAAGATAAAAAGGATCAGCAGGAGAGTAACCTTTAATAGTGTAACGTCATGTTCTCTTACCTCAAATGGGATTGATTGACTTTGAAAGACAACATAGCACCAGTCAACACACATTCGCTGAATACCATCTATGTAGAGCCCTCAGTCACTATGCACCGTCCTCTGGAACCCACTCCCAAATTTCTTTGTCTTATTTATGCCTTCTCGCCCTCCTTCCAAAATTCTTTTAAAACATCAAGTGTAGGAGGAAAAGGAATAGAGAGAGAGGCGAGGAGTTCAACAGTCTCAAGGTCCAGGGGAGGAGAATATAGTTGATTCGGGGAGGGTGGAGAGTTTGGATTGGAATGGGACATATAAAGTTTGAGACTGCTTCAAAGTAGGAAAGACCTCTTTCTGATCTACCTGGACATGGGTGCCAGGTGCCATGCAGGAGCTTTCGTTTTGGTGAAGTTTGTTCTTTGAAGTTTCCCTTGTTTCAAGAGAAGATAGGAAATGAAAACGGCTTAATCTGGCCCTCCCAGGTCAGGTTACAGCACAGCTGAGATGTAGCGCAAAGTTTCCTCTACACACTCCCACCTTCAAGTGCAAACTAGGAAGAACGCTCTGTATGATTGACAATTCAGTATCCAATATGGGTGCTGTGAAGATGTGGCTCACTAAAACCTGAGCTCATTTCACAGAAGATCCTTACGAACAGAGGACTGAATCAGCCTGGTTTGGATTTTAATTAAGGTTACAGGCGGTATTTCTTCATTAAGCAGTAACAAAATAGTTTTGTACAATTTCACCCACACTAAGAATAATGAAAAATGGACATCCATCATTTGTGCTTTTGAAATAGGTGAGAACCAAGTGTAGGATCCCTAAATTGCTCAATTCAAGTGAGTTTGTTCAGAATTCAAGGAAATCATTTCTCTGCTCAATGAGACAAGAAACTGTCATCACAAAACAGGGTGGAGGACCCAGAGACACTGGAGCCCAGACAGCTGATAGTGGTACCTCAGTTTGTCTGCAAGAGACAGGAATGCCTCCCAATGTCAGTCTTCAGACCATTGCTACAGCCGACTCCCCATCAGTTACACTGTCTGGAAGGCAGATAAATATTTTCTTCCTAAAGATGTGCGATAGCTCAGAAGCAACAATGCTCAGGATCATTCAATAAGTGATGTCAGTCTCTCCCGCAACCAATTTAATTCCAATATCCCCTGGGGCTTGCGCAATAATTTATTCACATTAAAATATTCATCATGGTTTTCCCTTCTATTTTGATACCTGCTTTGTACGTGTGTAACCATCGTCTCCCTCATTCCTTCCCTATTGGGTATGTCTGGGCTTCCTTTAGGATCAAGAAACAGTTAGAAATGTGTCTTGAAGTGGGTTTTAAGATCAGGAAAAGGAGGCTCAGGGCAAAGAGGTTTTGGGAGGAGGAGTTCCAGAGAGCAGGTGCAAAGGGCTTAAGGCACAGCCACCGATTGTAGGGCAGAGTAGTATACCAGAGTGGGAACAGAGGAAAGCCAGGATAGGAGAATAAAGCTAAAGGAGATTGTAAAGGCAGAGAGACACAATAGTGTAGGTATATTAAAGATCTCTGAACTAGAGAGAGGAAGAGACAGACAGGAACTTGTTCTTGATCACTATCCAATAACAATCTTCCCCCTGGCGATACTACACACCAGAGGCCACTGCACGCCTGACTGTGTATCAAACAGCCTAAAAGCTTTCCACAATTTTGTTAATTTATCCCCAGGGTACAATAGATGACACATGCTGCAATTGAGGGCTGGAGTGGTGAATGTCTCCCGGAGGTGGGCTTTCTGTTAATACAACACTCTGTCATTCTGTAACAAGCAGAGCAATATTTTATCAGAGGAGCTCCCTAGTGTGAGGATTACCATACATACTTTAGTCCAGTCTCAAACATTGACATTGCTGCAATCAGTGATACTAGATATGGGGGGAGATGAACATCTGTAGGTTCAACACCAAGTGTATTTAGGTCCAGCACCATATGTCTGTGCGAATATTCCATCGATCATGTTTTATTAACCCTTGCGCTGTAAGTTCAGAGTCGTCATTGCTTTGTGTCCACTTGCAAATAATAGATCAATGAACACTGAGAATGTGTGGATGAGTAGGTAGCCACAAATTTTGAAAGGTCATTAAAAACTAGTACGAGTGTTTTAACAATTGTATATTTAATTTACCGTCTAATTTCTCCCTCTTATTTTTCATGTGCTGAACTGCTGTCACTCTCAATTGCCTCTACCCCCACTGGAGTGTTTGTACTGTCGGAGGGAAGGTGAATATTTGGACATCAATTGAGCATAGGTTCAGACTCTGCTCTACTGCTCTCCATTCCCACCATCCCCACCCACCCCACTCCCAGTTATCTTAGTCACACATGAAGAACAGCAACTTGGATGAAATGGACCTTGCCATGTCATCACTGTAGGAGAGGGAAGGAGGTAATTGGAGAAGAATAAAATGAATGACAAGTAGGGCCTGAAAATATAGCATTTAAAAACCAAATGTAACTGGGCTAATCTGTTTATTAACAAAACTGTAGGACTTCCAATGCAATTTGCTGACTTAAACATGAGAAAAACGCATTTCAGGAAGGCCAGTAAAGGTGGTTTTGTGACCGTCGTTTTACTTTCTGACCTTCTGTCAGACTTTATGCAGTTTTTCCTCAGCCGAAAAACAGGTTTAAAACAAAAAAGGCAGTGGTGATCGTAACTTCCTTTTGCAAATATCGCATTTACAACCCGTAAAAACTAAAATAAAAAAGCTAGCTGTGGAACAGATGTTCTCACTATTGCAGAAGTAAACTTGTACGAGATACAAGGACTGTGCCTCCCTCTATTGGTTTGTTCTCTAATAACACTACAGATTTTCTTCAGAAGTACTGACATGTGCCTATGCTACAAGTTTCTCTGTTCATTTTAATTCATAGGTACATCCCCACAGTTGGAGAAACACAGGCTGTTTTGAGGAAAAAAGGAATCAATATCAGCTCGAGCGGATGGAAAATTTAATATATTTCTATTGCATTTTTATGTTAAACTGTAGCAAAGCTCTTCACAATTGCTGTTAAGTCTAGTGCTTTTTGTTTATAACAAAGTTCCACAAACAGCCACGAGGTGCATAAGCAATTTTTCTGGAAGACTGGTTGCCAGAAAACCAGAATAAAATCCTTTCTTTTCTCAGATAGTATTATGTAAATGCAAATGCTTGGTTTACAGCATCTGATCTGGAGGACGGTATCTCTCACACTGTACCCTCAGTACAACGCTGGAAAGTCAAACCAGACTGTGAGCTGAAGACCCTATATTGAACTTGAACCGACAGCCTAATGATCCAGAAGTGAGTATTGCCGATTGAGCCAAGTTGACCACTCAGTCTAAAGATCATTGTATGAAAGTGTACATTTGTGTATATGGCTCTGATGCTCTCTGTGGCTGAATACTTCACAAATCTGGCTTCAGATGCTATGCATCTGCAGCCTATGTATACCGGACACAATGAAAAGATTTTAATCCTGCAGCGATGAGACTTGCCAATGATTTGTCTTGCTTTCAATTAGACACTTCTGAGAAGTCCTCGATCTTCCGTTTCCTCTTCAGCCTTTTCTCCATAGGAGTTTTGTCGTCGCTGTTGTTTTCTGAGATGTCAGGCAGGCTGGATCCTCCTGGATTTCCTCCTTTTGAAGCTGCGACTCCAATCCGTCCCTCACAGCCTCTCTCCTGTCCCTCCTCTTCATCTTCAGTGTGCATTGTGAGGGTGCTACTATCAGGGGCTCCTGAAATCAAACGTTAATAATAATCCTTGCATTTGAAATAGCGCCATTTCACATTGGAAGTATATCTCAAAGCGCTTCACAGGTATTATTGTGAAACAGAGTGATTGTATCTTTGTAGGCAAATGGAGCAGTAGAATTGCGCACAGCAATGTCTCACTAAAAGCCACAGAGCAAGTGACCAACTTTATTTTATGAAGGATTGTTGATCAGGACACTGGGAAAAACTCCCTTCTCTTTTCGAATAGTGCCATGGCATCTTTGACGTCCAACTGAACAGTAAGACAAAACTTTGGTTTAATGCCTCATCCAAAAAACGCACCCCCCCCATCCTCCCACACAGCACCACATTGGAGTGTCATTTTAAACTTTGTGAGTAGAAGCCCCAATGCGGGATTTGAACCCAGAACCTTGTGACTCAGAGACGAGAACGCTACCCCTGCTTTTTCTGACAGAGGATTAAAATGATCCCTCAGTAGCTATAATCCTCCCTCTTAACAAGTTTGGTGGGAAGACGGGTAACTAAATAATTCAGAACTTACTGACTGGGGAATTTTGTCCCATGTGGATTGTTAACCACACATTTGCTCGTTGACCAGGATATCCTGGGACTTCCACTTCCCACAGATGTTCCTGCTCATCGGGGTGTGACTGTAAATACTTGTGACAAACTGTAAGAGAAAGGCCCGTCCACCATCATTTTACACATGAGAAGGGAAGATTCAAATCAGTCATCTTCATTGTCCAATTGCTAAGTTTTACTTACTTCCCCTAAATAATAATGTATTCAATATGATACATCACTTACAACATTGAAACATCACCTCATCATTTCATAGGGAATTGCTTTCAAGTGCAGTGACTATTAATAAATAAGTGTGACAACCATTTTATGTGTAGCAAGGTGCTATAAGCAGCCTTAATGATGACAAATTTATCTGCAAGATTATCAGGACAAACTCCCTTCCTCTTTCATAATAATGTCAATAGAACGCTTAATGTCCAACGAAACAAACAAATTTTATCCTTTGTTTAGCATCTCATTGACTGACCAAACGAAATCTACAGGATAGCATCTATCAATGCAGCACTATTTTGTGTTAACTCTGGACTGAGTTCAAGTCTCTATTAGGGTTTTCGTCCAACAATCTTCTGACACAGAGGCAAGATTGCTACCAAATGAACCACAATGACTCAGGCTGAATGGTCACACACTTTAGCACAAGTGGTCATTCTTGATGTGTGAACCTAGAGAATGAATTGGGACAACAACAACAACAAAATTACATTTATAGAGCGCCTTTCACGTCGGGAGGATGTCCCAAAGCGCTGACCAATCAGGTGTCAGGGCCCGAGCATGGGGGAGGGGTGGTGTAGGGATGAGGGAAGCCAGAGAGGTGGGAGGGAGACCAAAGGCTCGGTCGAAGAGAAGGGTCTTGAGACCGGCCTTGAAGGAAGCAAGGGAGGAAGCAAGGCGAAAGGACCATGGGATGGAGTTCCAGAGTGTGGGGGCAGAGAGGCTGAAAGCCCTGCCACCGATGGTAAGGCGGGTCGGGCGGGAGACATGGAGCAGGCCAGAGGGGTGAGGCAGTGGTGGAGTCTGGCAATGACAAGACCAATTGCAGATCCCAACTGCTGCTCGGACTGAAATCCCTAACTCACCACAAACCAGGGATCAACATTAGCACTATGTAAAGCACTGGCTAAAATTTCCAAACCTTTGTACATGGTTGGGGAGATGGGATGACTGATGCCCAATTCATGGTCCTCGGGAAAGGTGCAACGGAAATCGTGCAGGATTTGCAACCCAAAGCCAAGTCGCCGGTATTTCCTTCTCACAAACACGGTGTCCAACACAGACAACTGGTAACATTGGCTGGTGCAATCATCGCACAGACTACCTGGGACACAAAGCAAAAACAGATCTTCCAAGCACAATGTCCTTTTCACTAAATTTTTCAGCTAATTGTTTTGCGAGCATGCTCTAAACATCACTTTCCTGAAGTGCTAACTCATGCTGGTACGGATTCACCAAGACTGGTTTCCTTCCACTAAGTCAACAGTATTTACTTGCACTAGATACTGTAGAAACACTATGTTCAGCAAATTTTTGTTTCATGCAGCAGACCTGCCTTCCAGTTTGTGTCTCTTCATTTTCGTGCAACCTGAATGATCTGCTTCTCCTGTCCACTTTATTAAAGGTAACAGGAATTTGGGATGAGAGTGGATAGCTCCATTGGATCAGGTAGCAATATTGTGGGCTCATTGTGTCAAACTGTCCTCCTCTGTGATGACTGATGTTTTAGACAAGATAGTTCATATGACCCCCCAAAGTGACTGACTGATTACCTTTCAATTTTACTGTATAAAAACCAGCTGCTTCTCCCTGCTGCCAGAAAACCTTGGCATATTCATTAGCAGGGTGAATGAGGAATGGAACATCACCAGGGGATGTCTCCCAGAGTCCGCAGATAATTTGGTTTAAAACATAAAGCACAATCCGTTCCCCAATTGATCGAACCTGAAACAGAAAGTCCAAAACCCATTCACTGAAAACGTTTTCCTCTCCATCAGTTTTCTTCTCTCTTGAACAAACTTGACTCTTTTTTCTTCCTAACATGGCCTTTTTTATCCCCCCAAGGGTGAAGCTGGACGATGAGTGTTGGCAATGTATTTGATTGTAGTGGCATCTCAACCAAGTCTCTGGATAGTAACCAGGAGGGAGAAACGTGAGCTCATACTGAGACACTGGAACTCTCTGCCTCAACTCCTACTTGTCCATCTTCACATTCATGCCTGAAAATCTTCCTCTTTGACTGCTTATGGTCACCTCCCCTCTCCCCCTGGCTCAGGTGTCAAGTTCTGCCATTGTTAAGCCCTCTGAGACATTACCCTGCGTTAAAGGTGCTATATAAATGCAAGTTGTTGTAATATATTCTCTCTCTAAACCAGGGCACCGAAACCCAATTGTAATCACAACTGCTGCCCGTTCCAAGTTCAATTAACTCAGGAGATTAAGCTAGTTGACATTAAAAGTTTTCCCTCAGAGTGACTCTCACCTGCACCAGGTTCTGTCTCGAGGAGTTGGATGTTTTGAGAACATCTTCTACTGACCACCACTTTCCATTCAGGTGCAGAGCTAACACTGGAAGAGGAAAGCAGTGTACATGAATTGAGACACAGTAAGCGAAAGAAAGAACTCAAATTTGTAACACTTTTTTGTCCCAAAACGTCACCTAATTTAGTGTTGTGATTGCTTTTTAGGCGAATATAGCAGCCACAGCAAGGTTCCACAAGCAGCTATGCGCTGAATGACCGATTAATCTGGAGCGTTATTAGCCAAGACATCAGCGCAAATGCCCTTTTCCAATAGTATCATGGGATTTTTAATATCCACCTGAACAGGCAGACGGATCTCAGTTTAATATGTAACCTGAAGGATGGCAACTTCGGCAAATCAGTGCTCTCCCGCCACCCTCCCAGTGTCAGCCAGCATTAGGCTCAAACCCATATCTTTGTATGGGTTTGTTATTTAGAGGCAAGAAAGCGATAAACTGAGCCAAACCGACACCTAAATAAGGGTCCATCCTCCCAACAGTACAGGACAAACATCGAGGCAGAGGCTCGAACGTAAAACCTGCTCACTTCTGTCAGAGGTATGCAGAAAGTATCAAGGTGATTTGTTCTATTGTGCGCACTGATCAATGACTAAAACAGAAAACAATATACAGCTCTCTTTCACCATCTATTGGTAAATAACTGGTACTGAATTTAAGAATTTTTAAAAATCCCCCAGTTTTACGGCTAAAATTGCGGAAGAAATTTCAGGGAACCGATACTTATTTCCTTTAATTCCTTTGTTTCTTTTTTCGACTCGATTCCTTTGTTGGGAGGTTGTTCTACATGACTACTATGCCATGTGGAAAAAACGTCCACTGATTCAAGTACGACTTCCAGCCGTTTCATTCTGCACCTTGTGGTATTATTTGAACGCTGGCTGTGGGCTATTTGTCTCTAGGTTCTCGACTTGCAGAAGAAAGGTGTCTAGGGCTCTTAGTTAGGGAAGAGTCTGCCATTACTGACCTGTTTGTTGTTCTTTTGGTTTGAAGAGAATCAGCACTACATGCTCAGAGTTCTCTCTGCACGTAGATAGCCAGGATACTGATGATTTTCTGATGGGAATCTGAAAGAACAGACACGCTTCAATCACCCTGTGCTCTTTCTTCAGGTGCCCATACCAGATCTTTTCCCAGGAAGATCGTATTGGCCCTGGGGGTCAATTATGCCACTGTCAGTTTTGTGTTATTTCTTAAAAGGATTTCTTAATAAGAAATCCCATAGTCCATGATAGTTTACTCATGGGAACGCTGTTCCAACTCAATCTACTTTCAGAATAAGATTGCCTTCAGTCCTGGAAGGAAAATTATCCACAAATAGCCTGTAACAAGCAGACAAATCGTTACTCAAATCCATGGCTGTTTTTGGAACCTTGCTGTGCTCAGATTGGCTGCTATTTCTATATATAATAATAATATACATTCTATAGTCCTGTAGCATATTGGTTTGAGCACTCGTGAGCGAGAGGACCTGAGTTTGATTCCCAGGCAGGGTGAAACCTTAGGCAAGTTTCCTTTATCCACATGCCGTTGTTTACCTAGCAGTAAGTAGTAACCTGGTTGTCAGTTGATTGGTGGATTGCTTTTCCGGGGATAATAATCCCTTCCAAAAAAAAAATTTGGTCACTCAGTCCACGACTGTTTGTGGGACACTGCTGTGGGCTATTGGCTGCCGTGTTTCACCCACAAAAAACAGTCCGTGAAGCGCTTTGAGACATCTCAACTCAACAACTTGAAATCAAATGTAAGGATTACTATTATCATTACTAATACACAGTCACTGCACAGCAATTACCCGTGAAGTGCTTTGAGTAGTTTTGATGTTATAAGTGCTATTTCAAATGCCAAAATGATTATTAATTATTATTATTATAAAGGACTTTCAGAGAAATAGTAGGCTCTCGTATAGTTTAATATAGTACCCGCAGAGGTAGAAACATTACACTTGCAATTCCACACACGCCCTCCAGAGAGCAATCCAACACTGGGATTATTTTCTGTCAGTACAGTAGCCAACACAGTAAGGTCGTGAATTCTGCAAGTTTTTAAAAAATATTTATTGGATAACTATTCCCATGGCTTAGCAAGCTTTTTTTTGCAGCAAATAGCAAAGCCTTACATCCCAAGAAGGTCCCAGCTCCAATTCCTGGCCTGTGCTCAGCAAGATGAAATTATAGTGTAACTAGATACCTTTTCTCCTGTGAGCAAACTGAAGTATTGAGCCCCAGGACAGTCTGTGCTGTGAAGTTTGGATACGTACTCCTCTGATGACTGCCTCAACATATCCCAGCTCCAGCTTGTTAAAGCATCCACTGGATAGCATGGCCCTAAAAGGAATGATGAGAAAAACTAAAATAGGCAGTTACAAACCGTATAAAGAGTCACCATTATCTGATCAGTCTTATTAAAACAATAGCTTAGAGTCATACCACACTGTAATGAATAACCTGCAAATGTTTAGTCATACTTTTGATATACGCCTCAGTAAAGTGAAAAATCCCCAACTAAGAGTATTGGCAGAGAACAACTATTTGCACATATATAGCACGTCTTACATTGGATGAATATCTAAAAATGCTTCAGAATAATGATGGGAGCAGAGAGGGGCTGGGGCTGGCAGGGGAGTTTGAGGGCACTAGCCTTTGGTCAAGTTTTTGTTTTGGAGAGTGGAAAGTCACAAAGTCAAAGGATTTTGTGAGCGGGTTTCACAGAGCGTTGTCATGGTGACTTCTCTATGTGAAGCAGGTTTGAGTTAGAGCGGAAGGAGGAGTGGGGTGGGGGGGTAAGGTCACCGAGCTGGTCCGCAGGTGAACAATTCCTAACTGGGTCGGATTATCAAAGACGAGGGGGAAAAAAACATTTTGGAGGCTTTGTAAGGCTTTTAAATCGTGAAAAACTTGTTTTTTTTTTTAAAAAATGTATTTTATGCTAAGCGGGTGAATGTTAAGCTGAGTTTCTCTCTCTGAGGCTTCCTTTCCCTTGTAAGGAGCCTAAGGGTTCAGTAGGGAACTATAAACATTGGCCATTATATCAGAGTGTTTCAGTAACCATGTTTGATGCCTAGTGGGGAATCCATAAACAGCATGCGTTATACAAGATCTGGCATACATCTGCAAAGTATATAGATATATAATATATAGTATGCATTAGCAAGTCCTACAATGAGCAAAACAGAAGGCAAGGCCAGAGTGCTTTCATACATGTTGCTGTGTAAATTTCATTCATGATCGGTTTAGAATTACAGCCGAGGAAGGCTAACAAATGGTGACACTTATCTTCAGATTTAGACTTGGGAGGCCAAGGATTCCTGACATTCCCACAATAACATCCTCTGATCCTGAGAGGCAGCCATCTTAAAGCAGTCTTTTGTCTCAAGCATCACAATACCAGGGCTTGCGTATTGCCTACAAGTAGGTGGATTGGGGAATGCGATCAAGGTAAAGTTTCTTTAAAAAATCAACTGTCAATCACAGGTTGGGCTCTCTAACCTGAGCTGTCAATCACAGGGTGGGCTCCATAAATCTTAAAACACAAGTTTTAACACATCAGCTTTGATGTAGCACTTCATCACATCGTCAAAACATCTCAAAGTGCTTCACGGGATATTAGCGTAAAGTGGTGACTTTATTTTGTAGGCAAACACTGCTGCCAATTTGCACACAGCGATATCCCACAAACAGTCATTAAGTGGATTACCAATTTTATTTAGGGATTGTTGGCCAGGACACTGGGAGAAACTCTTGTCTTCAAGCGTGCGCATAGGATCATTAATGTCCACCTGAACAGGCAGACCAGACTCGAGTTTAACATCTCTCCTGAAGGACAGAAACTCTGACAATGTAGTGATGCACACCTGATTATTGCATTGGTGTCAGCCTTGAAAAAAAAAAATCCCAACGTGGCACTTGAACTGACAAACGTTTGATTCAAGATGTGAAATTGCTACCAACTAAGCCAGGATGACACCTGGTTAGTGCACAGGTAGCAGTATTTGCAGCTTTGGTTTTAATCAGTTGTTGGTCTAGGAATATTCAAGTTCATATTGTAAGACGATTTGAAGATGTTTCTCTTGCGAGAAAGGAACCGGATTGTAATCTTGCAACTGGTGATGGAGTATGGTCCTTTTATACATGTATTACCAGGAATCCAACCTGCTGTGGCTCTAAACCTTAATGTTTACAAAGATCGGTGGTGGGGGAAATAGTGTTTGACTGCTGGTGATTGGGTGCATTTGCATCCAGTACTTGACGATCAAGTGGTACATCAACAACAACTTGCACTTATATCGCGCCCTCCACGCAGGGTACCGTCTCAGGGCGCTGAACAGTGGAGGAGCCTGACTCCGAGCTGGGAGGCGAGTTGGTTGTAAGCACTGTAACACGATCGAAGAGGAAGGTTTTCAGGCACTGAATTTGCAGGACTTCAGGCGGTAGATGTACAGCAGTACAATAATGGGCATGTAATCAAGTTTTCTTGGCATTGGTGAAGGTGCTGATATATGTGTCTGCTCTCTGGCAGCTTACAGCAGGAGGGAAGTATCTGCGTTCCACGGCAGCTCAGTGCTGAGTACACACTCCTGTTGTCTCTGCCAGTGTAATGCAGGACAGGCTCCCTGTTGGGAAGCTCAAGTTCTTGTCAGCATTATTAGGCATTGAGCCACAAGAATGCCTGTTTTTTTAGGATTGCAAGGCTGAAAATCATGGGTTAAAATAAGCTCCTTTCCTGCAACTGCTTTCGAACCAAAACAATCACAAGAGTTGTGTCTATCATCATGCTGTGTGTAAACAGGGTTGGTGAATCGGAAAGCTTCCTCAATGGCTTAGGTGGAGTTGATGTAAATTTAATCCCTGGTCTGCATGGAGTTAGCCTGAACCCAGCTGGGGTAGGAGTTGGCCCTGTGCCTCTTTGTGAGGGGGAAGCATTTTGCAGAGATGCCTCCTCTGGATCACTATCCAGTGACATGCTGTTGGAAAGCGTCTGTGGGTGTGTGGGTGTGTGTGCATTCATGTGTGTGTGGGTGTGGGGGGGTGTGCGAGCATTCACGGGTGTGATGGGTTGAGAACAGGATCAGGCTCAGCTGGGATCCTCCTTTGCCCACTTGCTGGCACTTACTGTCGAGCCTAAAACATGAAGAACATTGGGCAGAGTAGCTGACAGCGGCTATCAGTGCGAAACATTACCCCAGAACATGCCAACGCTTTTCAGAAACAAGAGTAAAAATTGGAGGAAAGGGGTGGAGAATGTTAGAGGTGATGAGACGTGCAGCTGGGTTTCATAGTTGAAAGTAAAAATTAACTTTTTTAAAAAATATCACATCTGTTCTCATGTCTAAAGCTTAGTGTGAAACAAAGAATGCAAAAAAAAATAAACTTCTCACATTAATTTAACATAAGAACATAAGAAATGCGAGACGAAAAAAGACCAAGGTCCATCTAGTTTGCCTTTCATCTTCCTGGCGATTGCATGGACATATATCCCAAACTACCTATTTACTATATCCCACAATGTTATTTCTTAAAGGAAAACTATCTAATTTGTGTTTGAAAGAATCGACACTTACTGTTTCAACCGTCTCCCTAGGGAGCCTGTTCCACAGGTTCACTATTCGTTCACTGAAATAGTGTTTGTGTAGATTCATTCTGAATTTACCCCACTTCAATCGCCAGCCGTGTCCTCTGGTTCTACTATTCTGGGTTGAAATAGCCTGTCATGCTCTATATTATCTTGCCCCTTTAGAATCTTAAAAACAGCAATCACATCGCCTCTCAATCTTCTCTTTTCCAGAGTGAACATGCCCAATTTACGTAGTCGTTCCTCATAGTCCAGTCCCTCCATTTTCTCAAACATTTTGGTTGCCCTCCTCTGTATCTTCCCCTTTATCCCTTCCTCGATTTCTCCAATATCGTTTTTGTACTGCGGCGAGCAGAACTGTACACAGTACTCTAAGTTTGGTCTCATCAATGATTTATAGTGACAGGATTACCCCACTATTTCGGCTTGCTCTTGATCTTTTGACACATCCCAACTTCTGGTCTGCTTTATTCACTGACACAGAACATTTCTCCACATTGAATTTCATCTGCCACCGATCTACCCAATTCGCAAGTATGTTCAAATCCTCTGTAACCTATCTTGTTCACTCAGTCATCATAAACTATAAATCAAAACTAATTGAGGCGAGTTGCATTGCTGAAAGCAGCAAACAACACATGCTCAGATAACTTCACTCTCTCAAGCAGATACTACTTGCAGGCGCCTTAAATTCTGTAAGCTTTGGCTTTGTGATACTTAGTTTTACAACACAGACTGACAGGATGGTGTGATGTCTTAGGTGCGTGTGTGGGGGGGGGGGGGGGAGAGACAGCGACCGCTGAGGTTACAGTAGTGAATAGCTCTGAGCAAATTCAACTTGTTTTCAGGTGTCACACACACAAACCGCCGTGGGAAGGATTTCCTTTCTCAACGTGTACTTTTTATTCTAATCTTGTCTCCGATCTAGCAGCACACGGTTTCAATTCCCCCAGATTGGTGTTATCAGATACCCTGTGTGTGTGTCACTGTGTATGAACCGACATCAAACCTGCCTAGAATGTCTCTTTAATCCCTTACCTCGCTCATTCTGCTCTCTGCTACCTTCCATCTTGTGTTCTCATTTCCTCTGGTTGCTCCTCCTCCTCCTCACAATGGCCTTAAGGTGGCCAGCTACCCAATATTCAAGTGCACACAGAACTTCTGAAAGACGCATTGTAATAAAGTATCAAAGCATGAAATATAACAAAATAATCAAAAAGTCATCAGTCACCTTAAAATCCATTAATTTGTAATTTGTTGTTTTTACACTTTTACCTGGTGGTGGGGGCAAAGGGGGTGTCGAGGGGGTTCTTTTCCTTCGCTAATTGTCTCATCAACTTTCCTCAATTCCACAGGTGGTTTCCCCACCCATTCAAACCCCTCAACTGATTTCTCCAATACGGCTTTCTGGGGTAGTGAATTCCAGATTCCACTCAACTCTGTAGAAATTCTCTCTCACTTCAATCCTAACCTATGGCCTAATTTAAAGGTTACCTCTTCATCACTGATTGACCTACCACCAAGGGATAGTCAGTGCTCACTGTTTATTTTGTCCATACCCCTTCATGATCTAAATAAGATCTATTTACATGGACCTGATTTTCATTACATTTCGATTTCTTTTAAGATTTCAGCATACCATAGTCTGGTGTGGTTTGTGTTTTCTGTTTTTAAAGGACGTTTTCTCTCTCTCTCTCTCCCTCTCTCCCTCCCTCATGTTGATTTTGGCTACTGAAGAGATAGCGTTGCAGCTGGAGACAGACAGGGTTTGAGCTTCAGTAGAAAGACCGCCCTGTTCCCTTCGGAAGCTGTTTACTCCCTCGAACATCACCCCAGGCATTGTTTTGTCTTTCTGGTCAACCACCTGATAGAACAGGTCTACTTGACGTTCCTGCTGCCAAGTGGGATTGAAAGAACGCAGCTGAGATTCAGCTTAGGGGCATGTCTTTTGAATATTGAATTGGATTTGACAAAAACAATTATTTGATCCACTTAACTCTTTTCGACCTAATGGTTTTCCAATAGATCTTTGTTGACAAACTCAACACCTGCTCTCCAATTATTCTCAATGTCTGTCAAATGCATAATGCATGTCTTCAATCTTATTATCAGTAAAATAAAGACTATTAGCAAGTTACCCCTGTGGCTTTACCCTTTTCTTCCCTCTGTTGGGAATGCCAAACTCGCCCTGGGGTACAAGTTCCAGGGATACCAGGAACCCATTGGTTCCTTGCCAAATTAGATATTCTTCCCTTGTCTATTAACTGTCAACAAGGTATGTGATCATGGGGATTAATGAGAGGAGGGATCTGAACTAATTCTGATCTCATCTTTATATGTGTAATTTTCAACAAAGTTTCCCATTATCGTGGCTGGAGATCTATGTATTTTAGAGATACAGACAGGTACAACATTTAGGACATAATTTGGGAACCCAATGTGACCTCTTATAGACATCTGCAGACCAGAAGTAAATCAAAGATTGAAACTGTTGGATTTTTACTTCTATTGTGTTTTTGTTTCTCCCCGTTGTTTGGCCTCCTGAAGGTGTTTTGGCTTCTTTTTTTCCTTCCACTGCAACAATTACTTGGATTTATATAGCATTTTTCAGCTAGACGGGTAGTGTCTCGGAATGCTTAACAGTGGCTTAACAGTATCCCTGGAATTTATATCCCAGGGCGAGTTAGCACTTCCAAAAGAGGTGGGAAGTAAACAACACAAACAACAAATTGTGTTTATATAGTGCCTTTTGTGTTAGGATGACATTCCAGGCGCTGGACTTTCAAAGGTATGCAACCGAGCTGGGGGTTGAATTCAAGAGGGGTGGGTAACTTGCCAATGTGCTTCACTTGCTAATCATCATTTTTCCACTGATACGATTGAATTAAGTATTTGACAGACTTCAGTAATAATTAGAGAGCAGGTGTTGGGTTTGCCAACAGACTATCTATTGGAAAATCATTAGGTAGAAAAGAGCCGGGGAGAGGGGGAGTGTAGGCATAGTCAAAGAGGTCTTTAGATGTAATCCGAAGAGGGGCAAGGAGAGAGTAAGGCAGAGAGATTGAGGCTGAGAGGTCTAGAGTTTCGGGGACGTGGTGGCTGAAAGCACGGCTGACAATGGTGGACCAGACGGGATAAGGGATGTGTAAAATACCTGAACCAGCTGAGCGGATAGTGGAGTGAGTGAAAGCAGGTCGGAGAGGTAGGATGGTGCTAGGAAGTGAACTGATTTGTAAAAGTGTGAGGATCTTGAAAATACAAACTCTTGGGATGTCCTTCCAACGTGAAAGTGCCATATAAATGTACTTCTATTGTGTTTTGTTGTTGATCTTTTCTGCAATTGGGAGGCTGTGGAGCCTGGTGAGAGATGATGGAGAAGCAGAGTTTGGTATGGGTGAGAATACTGGCAGAGTTTTCAATCGGTAGGATTTTATGGGTGGTGGAGTTGGGGAGACCAGCAAGTGGGCATTGGAAAAACCGAGACAGGAGGTGACGAATGAGTGAATAAGGCTTTCAGCTCCATTTGGTGTTAGGCATAGTGAGAGGCGGGCAATGTGGCAGACGATAATTGTCCTCGTCAGGGACTGGATGTAGGGATCAAACCTGATGCCTAGGTTGTGTACAGATTCAATTAATCTGAGGGATCGGCCGGAGAGATTAAAGAAGTCAAAGCCACAGGTGAGAAGGGGGCCGAGGGGGATGGTTTTCCTCTTGTCAACACTGGGATATAGTTCTGCAGGTTGCCTGCTGGCTCCTTGTCCTAGTGGCCCTTATTTATGTGCAGGCTTTACAGTGCTAATAGCGGCTGGTGCATAGTTTCCTGTAATTTATATATTTAACTAAAAGCAGCATTTGCTGGGCAAAACATTTCTGCTATTCATTAACCCAAAGCAGCAAAAGAAACTCTCAGGTGTAGGTACGCTACACTACAATCGTTGCATCATAGATGTAGAGCTATCCAGCAGTCATAGTGCAAAGAAGCAGTAAGTGAACAAGGTATCCACATAATTATGTTAGATACAGCAAAGGCATCTTGTCAGCCTTTTCATTGGGGCTCCAAACATTAGACACTGGACATTCCTGGCTTATCTTGTTGGACTGATCAGAAGTGAATACAAAACAGTTACTTGTCAATAGCCACAAAGCACACACTACTCTGAACATACATTTGTGAAATTATTTTAGGATACATTTCCGTAGCTTCCCTTGTAATTATGCATGCATTCCTTATCTGTCAAGAGCACAGTAGCAAGACGTAATAGCAAACACGTTTTCTTTCATAAACCTCGTTGATTATTGAGGCAAGATATGTTAGAGCTAAGAATGGAACTGCAGCTTTAGCAGATATTGTATATGCCATAAAATAAAGCACCCAATAGGAAGCTAATCAGAATCCTATTAGCAATGAAAAGACATCCATACAAGTTGATTTGGTCCTTTTCTAAGGATTCCATTGATCGTTTTTTTGTAGTGTAAACAGCATAACTGCGGAGAAATCAAACCAGACCTCCCTTAATTCATTGTTTACACAGCAACCTCAGGCCCTTCAGCAGTGACTGGTGTCAAAGATTTGCTGAACTGCTGCAAAACATGGAGCGGTGGACACTCAGCAACATAAATACAATCCCAAACCAGAGTTCAATGTTGGAAAAATCCCACAGTGTTAAATAATAATACTTACATTTCATATAGTGTTTTACATCAGGAGGACATTGCTAAGAGTTTGATAGGAAACACTGTAAAGTGGAGTGCATGTATAGTTTGTGGGTAAACATAGCAGCCTAATTTACGCACAGCAAACCAGATGTCCTTCCGACGTTGTGAAATGAATGACCAATTTGACTGAGGCAGATTTGGTCAGGACACTTGTTGAGACTCCCTTTTCTTTTCAAATAGTCCCATAGGTCTTTAACATTTCATCAGAGGGTCAAAGATAATTCCATCATAGGGAAAGCATATAGTTAAACAGCTTTAATATAACTTGAGGGAGATGCCCAATAAACAATAATTTGCAATTATATAGCATATTTTACATAGGAGAACATCTCCGTGCCCTTCATAAATTCATGGTTAATTCTGAGTAAGGGAGGAGAGGGAGGTGTTTATGGAGGAGAGGGAGGTGTTTAAGCAGGATTTAAAGACAGATAGAGGGGGAGGTGAGATGGATTCTCCTCCTATTCTCCTCTCTCATTCTATTCTCTCTCCCTCACGTATACATCAACCTCCACTTCACCTCCCTCCTGCTCCATCTCCTCAGACTTCTCTCCTCTCTCAACCTCTCCCTCCACATCCACTCTGCTACCCACACACGGTCACCCGAATAGCATGGTGATCACCCGTGGCCTCAGCGCCTTGGATGTCACTATCACTGACAAGGCCATCTCTAACCACCATTTCATCTCCCTCATCTCCCATATCCCTCTCCCCACTGCCTCCAAACCTACCACCATCTTCTACCGCCCGTGGAATAAGATCTCCCCGCAATCCCTCTCCGCTGCCCTGGATCGCTTCCCTCTGGCGCACCTCTCTCAACAACCCACTCACTGCACTCACTCTTCTCCACCATACTCAACGTCCTTACCCCCCTCACCTCCCGAACTGCCTCTTAGTTCCAATCCTCACCCTGGTTCACCAGCCACCTCCATTTGCTTAAGGACCAGGTGAGGTCTGCCGAACGCACTTGGCTCAAATCCGGCCTAACGGTCCACCGCCACAGCTGGCTGGACCTCATTAAGAACTACCGCTCCACTCTTGCCTCTGCCAAATCATCCTTCTATTCCAGGCGAAAGGCAGTCCCAGGCTCCTATTCTCCACCACGAACCAGCTCCTCCGTCCTCCCCAACACGCCTCGCAGATACTTTCCTCTGATGCTCACTGCAAGAAAATGCTGGACTTACTCGAGTCCAAAATCGAGGGAATCCGCTCAGCTGCCACTGCCCTCTCAACTTCTGCCCCCTCCCTACCCTCACCCCACACAATTACCCATCCGACAATTACCCATCCCTCCTTCCCCACTTTTGAACCTGTCACCCCCTCCTCTGTCTTCAACACGGTAACCTCCATGAAAGTCCACCACCTGCTCCCTCGACCCCATCCTTACCCCTCCTTAAATCCCGGCTTCACCTCCTTGCCCCACTACTAGCCGACATCATTAACCTCTTCCTGTCATCTGGCACTGTTCCTTCCCCCCTCAAAATAGCCACTATCACCCCCACCTTGAAGAAACCTATCTAGCTATTGACCCATCTCAAATCTCCTCTTCCTATCCAAGGTCCTTGAGAGAGCCGTTGCCTCCCAGCTTCACTCTTTCCTCTCCTCTCACTCCCTCCATGAACCTCTCCAATTGGGTTTCCGTGCTGTCCACAGCAGATTCCGTGGTCAAGGTCACAAACATCCTGACCATGTGCGACCAGGGGTCCCTCTGCTTCCTCATCCTCCTCGATCTCTCCACCGCCTTTGAAACTGTGGACCACTCAATCCTCCTCCACCGCCTCTCCTCCCACCTCAACCTTCAAGGTTCTGTCCTTGACTGGTTCAGGTCCTACCTTTCACATCGCCTCCACTTCAT